ATTTAAAGAAAATCGTGGCCCAATGTTCCACCTGTCCATAGGTAAATGTCTTAGACCATCTACTCAGAAAAAATCAAATTAAAAGAAAATTCTAATTGCCTAGCTCAATTTTCTACCTCCCGTCCATAGGTGAAAGTCTGAGACCCCGGGAGTATGAAGTTATCCTTTAAAATATGTGGCTGTAATCTCGGGAAGTTCTGATAGTTATCCCTAGGAATCGAATCATTTGGAAAAAAAACGTTTCTCATTGTCCATATTTTCAAGAAAAATATCCAAAGTTATTTTAAAATGAAACATTTCGCTAATTCAAGTCTGTTGTCATTAGTCTTTCATTCAAGCCTGCGAAGAAGATTCACCTATATCTGAGTCTGCGATCTTCGGTCGGAAATGTAATAACTTCTCCAACGGAGACGATTTCGTAAAATCTCCTAAAAAATATTTCGTTGGTAAGATTTAAATATGTTCGGCTATATGCAGAGGAACCAATACAAAATATCCTTTAAAAATCAAAATATTTGGCTTTAATAATTTCTTCTTGTACATCATAAAACTTTAATATAACAAAGTTTCTTTTGTTTTGTTTTTTTAATAATAATAACACTATACAACATTGGGGTGGTTCAGGTTTTATGTTTGTTGTTTATTCTTTTTTAATATAAAATTTTATAGGTCTTGTTTTGGATTTAAAACTTAAGCGTCAAAAATTAAGTGTAAACAACTTAAATCCTTGAGGGGTACAACATCTGAAATGAGAGGAAAAAAATAAAAAAATTAGTATAAAATATTATTTTAAATTAAATATTTTTCAATTTTTAGACAAATGATTAAAATATTAAGTAAATGGTCAATATTTCAAAATCATAAATTCCAAGTAATCAAGGATATTTTAAAATAGGCTGCTACTAATCTATTGTTCCTATGCCAATACTGAAAACATCTTTAAAAATAAGCTGACTTTTTTAGAGACAAATGTCTGAAAGTATTTTTCAAAAATATTTGTTTTGTTTGAAGTTATTCAAATACATCTGTTGTTAACCTCATAAGGTGGTTAAAATTCTTATCAGCTGTTTCCAAACTTGATGGTATACTAATACAACAACAATACACAAGAGATCTTCGTGCACATGTTCATCAATGTTTTGATACAATTGCCTGAGAGCCCAACAAGATTCTATATTGTTATACCCCACTTCTATTCATACAAGAGCAGGTTTACGACATTTCATTGGACCAGGATATCATCTCATGTGCAATAAACAGTGATGTAACCCAATGTACCATCTATTTGACACATTCCTTGACATACCCAACATTAAAAAAGAGAAGTCTTTAATAATACTTACAATGCGAATGCGGTGACCCATAGCATGACCAGGCAAGTTTCTGTTGAAACGAGCACGAACGCAACCACCATTACCGTGCAAGCGGGTTACTTTGCCCCAAACGGCACGTACACGGGTCTTACGTTCTGGGTGTTGGGGAACGCACTTCTTGGTCTCAGCTTTGTAAACATAAACACAACGCTTGCCAATGTAGAATTGACCATGTTCCTTTCTGCGGGCACCTTCGATCTAAAAAATAACAAGAACAAAAACCAAACTCATATTTAGAATAATTCTAATTAACCAAAATCGGAATTTTCAATCCTTACCTTCAAGATAGCTTGGTTTTCGTGTTGATTTCTCAAACCACGTTTGTAGCCAGTGAAGACAGCCTTGGCAAAGAGACGGCCATGACGCTTGTATTTGGGTGCAGCCTTCTTGACAGCGGCAGCCTTTTCGGGCTTGGCAGCCTTGGGGGCTTTGGCAGCCTTAGTGGCCTTGGTAGCCTTGGCGGGGGCAGCAGCGGCAGCTTGTGTATCAGCCATAGTTTAACCTGCAAGATAAGTAAACAATCCAGAGTCAGTATATTTCATCTCTTCTCGTCAAGAAAAGGACATCGAATTTTTGTTGTAGTTGTTTTTCCCCGATTTCACTGTTTTGTAAACATTGCCTTAAACTTGATTAAAATTCATTAAATGTCATTATTTATACACACACTCGTCATTATTATCATCTTCCTTCATTTTAATATCCCCTTTCAACACACATCTAATCATCTTCATCAATATTATTGTTGAAGTGCTGCATAGCATTATTTTTCATCTTGAAACATCTTGCTTGAATTCGAAATTAGGCACATAATATTTATTTATTGGCATTCTAGCATTGCTCTTTTGTCATATCAATCGTGAATTTTATTTAGTTTAAGGCATTTTTTACATATTTTTTTAATTTTTTGGAGAAAAACACAAAAATCGCGTACGTACCGGAAACTTGACAAATGGCGAAAGAGAGAAGGCATGATAGAGCTGTCATTTCATAGATTTGACATTTGCACAACGACCTCTGGTGGTGGATTTCAATCAAAACATATGGGTAGAGTTGTATTTGGTGATTACTGCGGGTATGCCAGTGAATAGTCATAGAGGGGGTTCACAGTAGATGATTGAGAAGAGAGATAAAATAAATGAAAATTGTTTTTTAAAAAAATTGGGTTTTTATGGGGACATAAAGTCAAGATTTTAAAAAAAGAATAGACAAATATTAAAAAGAAATATTAAATAAAAAATAAAATAAAAAAGTAAAACATTTCAGTAGGTGCTGTCGACGACAGATATATATTCTCAGCTTATTGTCTGCAGAGGTCTACGTAGGTTTTATTATTCGCTTTATATAAGGAATATATTTTTATCAAAAGGCTGTCCATCTTTACAGAAGAGATTGGCCTAGAGACCCCATTTTAGTATTTGTATAGGTACTCTAGGCCAAGTATTTGCAAAGTTTGGATCAAATTAGACGTTACGGGAAGTAGTGAACTAACGGACCCATATTTAGGTCTGATATATGTAAAGTTTGGATGAGCAAAGTTTGCATGATATTGGAAATTCCGCTTCATATGGGATTTTCATGTTTTCAAAATGTTGACCCTCTGTGGGGGAAATACTAGAAGGAGTGGGCCGATAAATCCCATATTCCAACACTATACTTACATGATTAAAATATTAGGATATGCGAAGTTTAGGTCTATTCGCCTAAAATTAATTTTCAACAAAATATTGACTGTTTTGTGTGAGAGAGGTACCAGAAAAAATGGACCGATGGGTCCCATCTTCGAACTTGATTTAAGTTTGAAAGAAATATTACGATACTACCCTGTTGTATGGATTTGAAGCATGGGTACTTGCGCAGCTCTTGCGGTGTTTGAAAGAAACATTCTCCGAAAGATCTACGGGTCGACGGTGAATATCGGCGTCGAACGAACCACGAGCTCTTCAATTTATACGCTGACATCGACATAGTACGTCGTATTGAGCTTCAGCGACTACGGTGGCTGCTAGGCCATGTTGTGCGAATGAATGAGAATGCCCCAGCTCAAAAGGCATATAAAAGCGAGCCTACTGATGGTTCCCGTAGGAGGTGAAGGCCACGAATTAGATGTAAAGACCAAGTAAAAAACAACATCTTGGAACGTGGTCTTTCAAATTGGAGGAGATGCGCACAAGACCTAAAAGTCCCATCACCCAACAATATATTGGCATGGTTAAAAATATAAGCTTGTGCTAAGTTTAGTATGAATCGGATGCTCTGTTCGCACGATATGTTGATCTATGTTTGGTATACTTGTTACGATGTGCAAATTTGGAATGATCCCTTCGAGAATTGTCGAACGGATGGATTTGGTCCAAAGAAACATGGTGAGACACATTTTTGTCGTATGAAAGAGTATACCTCATTAGGCTGAGGGTATAAATATCAAATTAAATTGTAGAAAAGGTTCGTCCACACTAAAGTAATTTCGGGAAATTAGGCGTTCCTAAAACGACATGTGCATTAGACTCCCAGCTCACATTATAGGCGAGCTGGAGGAGCCTCTTTAGACTAGCTGAATGAATTTTCTGTAGAGGAGCTGAATGAATTTTCTATAGACGAGCTGAAGCTGGCAACGTTTGTTGGCGAAAGCCGTACAGGCGAGCTCCATACTGATTATTTTTAAAGTAACTCTATAATCTCAATGAAAGGCTAACAAAAGGAAGTTTATATAGGACAGGAAAAATCTGGTATATAGAAGTAGAAGCAGGGTATGTGTAGAATTTCAAGGCTCTATCTTAGATATTGCGATTTCATTATCTCAATGAAAGGCTAACTAAAGGAAGTTTATATAGGACAAGAAAAATCTGGTGTATAGAAGTAGAAGCAGGGTATGTGAACAATTTCAAGGCTCTATGTTACGCATTGCGATTTCAATCGTAATTTCTGCAGAATGACATTGCTAATACGAAATCGAATTTTACTCTGATAAAGAATATAAATACGTTGTGGAGTCTCCGAAAAATATTTCGTCCCCCTTCTGATATCCCCATATTTTCTCTGTTTCCGTACTCAAAAAGTGGCAAAATTTCAAATTTGGAGTGCTAAGTCATATAAGACATACTGTACTGGAGCTAATCCAGCCCTCTTCATTTCTTAAAAAAAGAACTAGTTCAATTATTTAAAGTGCGCTTAAATGTCAATTCCATAACATATACGTCACTTTAATCATGTAAACTCTATTGTAATTATAAAAGCGACGCAACAAGTCCTCAATCCACATTCAACGGAATTTAAACTCCAAAACACATTTTTTTGGTAACCTGTTGAAACTTGATTTTTGTTTGGTAATCGTTATCGCCAACGGCGTCACCATTCAACTTTGCATAGCTTTGTGTAATTAGTCACTGCAAATACAACCCTGTGTTTGGCTTTCTTTTGCCAAATTTTTTGAAATTCATTCATTCTGGCTAAATTTTGCAACAGAACAAGTTTGAAACCTGTCTTTTGTGTTTTAAATCGGAATTAAACGTTTTGAGTGAATATTCTGCGATTCGTTGTTGTTTGTTTTGTTGTCTAAACACTTTGTTGTCTGCCCCCTCCCAATAATTGAAAGAAGAAAAAAAAACTGGGAAAAAATAAATCATCATGGCCGCTCTGGAATCCTTGAGTAACAAAGAATTGCGTCAAAAAATGATCGAATTCGGTATGCCCAATGTACCGGTGACCGATTCGAGTCGTAAAATTCTTATACGCCGCTTGGAGGCTGTAATGTCGGGTAAACCCGCCACCACCACAACTCCCAATAAGACAAATCGTCGCGAAACAATGCATGTCTCAAAGCCATCAGAAATGGCGTCATCTGCTAAAATTACAGCCGCTGCTGCATTGAATAATAACAACAACACAACCACCAGTGGAAAACCAACGGCTGCCAACAGACCATCTAGACGTACCATAGCAGCCACGGAAAGGCATGTAACCACAACCACCACGGTTAGTGAACCAGAATATTCAGATGTTTCACCTGATCGCGGTGAGGTGGTTCTGACACAAATGTTGCCGCCAAAAGCCAAGACTCCCGAGAAACCTACTTTGTATCCAAAATTACCGGCCAAAGAGCCATCTCCCAAACCGCAGGTGTTGAGTAAAACTGGTGTGGTATCTACATCGTATATACAGGAGTCAAGTGTTAATAAAACATATGCCGAACCCATTGATGATATCGATTCGACCGAGGAAGAAATTGAGGAGGAAATAATGAAGAAGAAACCCGTATCAAGTGTACCATCTTACAGTGCCACCAGCTATGTGCCTCTCTCCGAATCCAAGGTGACAACATCGGCATCAATGCCACCCTTGGCTTCAACATTGAGTTCAAGTACACGTTACAGTTCTTTGAATAGTTCATATAACTATAGCGGCAACACCAAGCCAAGTTCCACAACCTTGTTGAACAATTCCACCAGTACCAGTGTACGTAAAACCTATGAACCACCAGTAGCATCAGCAGTACCTGCACCAGCATCAAGAACTACAATTTCCGCTGCATCAACCTATCAACCAAGAGTAGGAGGAGGGGGAGCTGCACAAAACACCATCTCCGCACGTCGTTCTTATGTCAATGCACCGGATCAGGAAGAATCACCATTCCGCCAATTTATGATGGCCATGGAAGAGAAATATCATCTCAAGCAGACATTTATTATAATTTCCGTCTTTATTGTAGCCATATTTATTTATGTTTTCTTTATACAAAGTGTTTAGATTTATTTATGTATATTTATTTCTATGTTCTATGTTAATTTTCTATTTTGAGATTTAAAGTTTTTTGTTTTTGTAATTGGACCCAGTGTATTTTTTTTCTTTCTTTGTATGCGACCTATTTCCGGTATGTCTTTGATTATTTCACTAGGCTCCTTTTTTTGTTTGAAACACAACTTAAATGGTCGATAAAATAAGTGTCGTTTTTGTAATGAAAGATTGTATTTTTTGATATTCGAATTAAAATGTTTGTTTTATAAATAAAGAGCGAAAAATTATTTGTTTACATTATTTTAAATATGAGATGTCTTATAAATTTTATGGACCAAGA